TACTTCACACTGGGGTCTGGAGGTCCGACAACAAATGAGATAAACTTGAGCAAAGGGCTTATTTCTGCTTCATAAATCTCCCAGGGGGGAGTTTTAGGAAATAACTGGCAAATTTTTGTTTTCTTCACTCATGACTCTAGTGTCTCACCTCCTCAGACAGATTTGTGTTTCCACAGGATTATGTCCATGGCTCTGTTTAATATTCTGTTTAAGATAGTAGTACCTCTTTAAAGGTGCTTTTGGAAAATTTATCAGCCCTGTGTTGCTGATGCTTTGTTGAGTTCACATATCTGGGCACATTGCTCCCTCACTCACCTCGAGGGCAGGAACTTGGCATGTGTCCTAGGCCCTGTATCCCCCTGCTCAGTGTTCTTGACTCACACTGGCCATTTGTGTGACTGTTCGATTTTAACAAAACTGGAATAATGGTACTACAGCTCTAAGAGGTGGGCAATGCCAAGTCTGTACTGTCATCTCCATTCCCTATAAATAAGAGCTCAAGTTCATTGACTTTCCCAGATCAACAAATGGTGAATCTACAGAAAGTCATGTCCACTGACTCCAAATCCCCTAAATTTGTCACTCTCCACACCTCACCTAAAAGGCAGCCAAAACAATGAGGTTGCGTAATGTCTGGAGCTCTGGACCAGGTAGAAGGACTGAAATAGAGCCTGGTGTCCTTGAACAGTTTCCAAAAGCTGGTTATGTCCTCATGAGGAGGTCTGCATCCATCCCTTCTTCCTCTCCACTCAGCTTCCCTATCCTGTCTTGTTTGGGGGCACTGAACACCATTTCTCCACTTGACATTGATTACGTCATAAATGGCCAGTCTCTGGAAAGTGCTGCATTTGGCTGTTGGCTCTGTATAAAACCTCTTACCCAGCGAATACCATCAGCTCCTTCCCTGAAATCATCACCCTCTGGAGAAGGGTCAGTGATGGGGGTAGAGAAGCTCACTGAACCTTCAGGACACCAGAGGACCCACGGAGACCACATCAGAAGAAGTCACCTCAAATACATCAGCAGACAATGGAGAACCCTCCCTGTGACACAGAGATTTTGTTGCCAACATGGTCTGGGCCTGTCACAAT